TTTTCCTGGTCCCCACCGTCCCTCTCCCTCCCTCCACTCCCATCAATTACCTCAATGCAAATACAAGTGGGACGGTCCTGCGGAATGTTTTAGGTTCTGGACGTAAATGGGTGACACAATCCATCAGGGTACGAGATCTGTTCTCTCATTGGTTGCTCAGAGCTCCAGGACCACCCCAGACCCAGAGCAGCAGGAATAAGAGCTGCTGCTGGTGCTGAGGAGCGGAGGCAGCATAGCCACTGCTCAGCTCAAGAGTCCCTGTGGCTTCCACAGAGCCACCGCCTGACGCCAACGCTGCCACAGCTGCCACCACCTGGGCTCCTAGCCACCTGCTGCCTGCTTCCAGGTGAGTTCCGAGATTCCCGATTCGCTGTGTGAGTCTATCTCTCCCTCTTCTTCCCTCTCTCTTTTGCACTCGTCTTTCTTGTAGCTGCTCTCCATTACTCCAGGATTCATTGCAGGCTCCTGCCTCAGGTAACACTGGCCAGTCTCAGTCCCGGGACTTCCTGCTTCACTGCGCACTGAGACCCACTTCAGTTCGCTGTTCTTGCCGCACTTGCGCTCAGGACACTGGAGCTCCACAGATACCGTGTGCACAGCGGGGCGCAGGGGTGCTCACGGACCTGTTTGTGCCTAGTGGTCCCTGGGAAATCATTTCGGAACTTTGGCCAGCCTCAGTGGGTGGCAAATAGGCTCTAAGACCGAGAGGAAGGCAGCCTTGGATAGCAAGCCCTTTTAGTGAGTTCTGGGACATTTTCCTCTCTGCTTTAAGTCCTAACCCCAATTTAAGACTCTGCTAAGTTGGTTCTTGCAGGGAATTCTTTGCCAGAGTGCGGAGCAGGTAAGAAGAATTTGTTTCTTGTTTCTCTAAGATTCCATCGGTAGAGATAATTCCCTTTTATTGACCTCCCCATGCCCCACTAGGTAGGAACAAAAGCCCCACACAGGGAGGACAGTTCTGGGTTGTGATAGGAGAGCCACTTGGTGACAGGGTGCTCAGTGGAGACCTGGCCAGGATGTGAATTTGAGAGGGTGCCCAGTTGGTGGGGAGGGGGCTACTGACAGAATCCTCTTCACCCAGTGGTCTGCTAGGATAGCTCTGCTGTTACTCTGCTGTCTTTGCTAATCTATGCATGCTACAGGCTCACTGGATCTTTCAGCCATCCACTTTCCTGGGGAGGAGACAATCATAAAGGGAATAACATGACCAGCCTGAAGCCGCCATCCCAGGGAGTTAGAGGTAGAAGCAAGACTGGAGCCCAGGTCCTTGGGCTCAAAGAATTCAGACTGGTGCAGAAGGTGACATCTTTCTTCCTTTGCAGAGAACCATCATGGGCTTCTGGAAGTTCTCTCCTTTCCTGGTTCTCATCATCCTGGCCCTGTACCAGGTGGGCGTCCTCCAGGCAGCACCATTCAGGTAAGACAGCCCTGCCAGGAGTGTACCCACCTCCCACTGCCCCTGGGATCAGACACTTCTGTACTCTGATGGGCTAAAACGTTAACCACCAGCTCTCAGGGGGGGAAGGTATGCATGTGACCTGCATAAGGGTTTATTATAAACATTTTATGCTACAAAGATATTAATAAAACTTAAAAACAAATGGTATATTCTATACCTGACTGTATAGTAATATATTTTATTGAGTTTACGGAACAGCCATGGCTATTGACCAAATATTTGTATCTATAGCCAAAGAATTTATCTAATTAAAGCACAATTTGGTAAACAAAGTACATACTAATCTAATTTTCCACTGATTTGTTCTTATTAGGTCTAATATGAGACCTCTTACTCTAATTTCTCACCCTTACACAAATATTTTGACTCAAACTGTTTTACACTTAATGCTTGATAATGGCTAAATTTAACACTAAGCTTATGATATTCCTGAAAAATCTCACCATCAGTTTCATGACCCTATATATTCTAGTTCCAACAGTCCTTGTCAAGGTCACTCTAGTGCCTACCGGTGAATCAATGTTTTTCAAAGGACATTGGACTCATGCCCTGACCACTAGGATTTGGGGTAGCCACATCCTTAGGGAAAACACAAAACACAGGAAGGTAGCCTGGCTACTGATCCAAGGGAGGTGGTAGACAGAGGCTCAGAGCCTCTATTGGCCTTCTTCCCCTCCATAGGTCTGCCTCAGAGAACTCACCGGAACCCCCTATACTCACTGAGAATGAAGTATGCCTCCTACTGACTGCAGTGCTGAATGACTATGTGCGCCTGAAGGTCCATGAGCTGCATCGGGAGCAGGAGACTGACAGCTCCAGGTGAGGCTCCCCCACCCCCGGCTCAGCTCAGGGCATCTCCTCCCTCCTGTCATGCCCAGGAAGGCATATCCCAAGAGGTAAGAGAGAACACAGCTGGACAGGTGGCCAGCACACTGCCATGGTTCACCTCTGCCTGGGGCCCAGGATTCTAAGGCTCCCCTGACAATAGAGGTCACAGAGACGATGGTTAAGGCTCATAGAAAAAGATCCCTTTCTGAAAGTAGTTAGGGAAGGTATGAAATCCCCCACTCTGGCCAATGGGTTGGCAGCACTGAGGGGACTTCCTGGGATATGAGGAGTTAGGACCAGTATGTGTGAAGCCGGCAGATGGACCACACGTATCTCAGGTTTTAGAATTAGGCTTCTTGGACACTGGCACATGGCATTCATTCATTGCACATTTGCAAGGTAAAGCCAAAGGCCTTTCAGAAAGTGGGGTCGGGTAGGGCACTGTCTGAGGTAGGTCTGGGGTCTTAGATGTGTAGGCTCTGTGGAGACACACACATTGTCATGGGACCAGATGCACTGCCCCTACCTCCCCTCCCTGCGTCCCCTGAGCTTGGAGCACACACCAGTCCTGGGCTGGCCCGGGCCCCACCAGGTCAGAGGCATGAGATGCACAAGCAGCTACCCTGCAAATCTCAGTGAAGAGCATGACGACTGATGTATTGCAGCATGAGGAATGCTAGAGAAGGCTACCCCTTCCCCACCACAGCCCTTCCCCACCCTGCCCTGGCTCAGGAAACCTCTAGGTTCTCCTCATGGAGGATTGAGTGCTGCACGGCTGCTGCCCCTCCCGCCTCTGCTCCAAGTGCCCCCTCCCTGGTCTAACCTTCTGCATGATACCCACAGGGGCAGACCCGGGCCTTGGTACCACCTGGCATGTCTTTTCCCTGCAGCCTGGACAGCTTCCGAGCTAAGCGGTGCAGTAATCTGAGTACCTGTGTGCTGGGCACATACACGCAGGACCTCAACAAGTTTCACACGTTCCCTCAGACTGCAATTGGGGTCGGAGCCCCTGGCAAGAAAAGGGTCATGGCCAGCAGCTTGGAGAGAGACCACAGCCCTCACACTGGCATGATCCGGGATGCCTACCAATCCCCTCCCTCAACTTTCTAATTTCCTTTCTTCCTTCCTTCCCATATCATGATACATGTGGTCCTCTCTGGCTGCTGGTGTCAGTAGCTTTCTTTGTGGCAGTGGATGTCTGGAACCTCAGATGGGAGGAGAGCAAGATGTTCAGGCCAGAAGAGAACCCCCCGGGAAGAGATGGGGGGGCAGCCTTTGACTCCCCCGAGGAATCGTAGCCCAGCTTCTCAGTCCTGCTTATGAATGTGATTGTCACTGGGGAATAAAAGTGCATTTGTAAGAAGACCTGAGCAGTGGTGGTTATTGCTCTGGGCCACAGCACAGGCTTCTCAGACTCAGAGACCTGTGCTTAGAAGGAGCCTTAGCCCCGTGGTAGCTGGATCCAGGGCATAGTGAGTAGTCCTGTGACCAACATCCAGTAGCTGGACAGGAGTCGTGCAGAGCAGGTAAGCACCTCTGGGACCCAATGTTATACTTCCTCCTCCAGGTGAGTCTGGGGAATTTTCCTGTTTCTAAGAAGGGATATTGGGTGCCATTGAGTGGGCTGTGGCTTCTAGATAGTTCTTGAGTTGGGGTCAGTGTGGGGCTATAATCCTCTCTCCTAAGCCTTGCTTGCTTTTTAGTTTACTTATACAGGATAAGCTGTTACAGCTCTGTGTTCCCTGGCCACTCACCCAGAACCACTTTGGGCTTCCTCACACCCCTGGGAATGTCTGTGGGAGTGATCATGGCATTTTCCCCATAGCCTGTGTATTTCTGCAGTGAACACTGTGATTAGGGGAAAGCCGTACCATTAACAGGTGCCTCTCAGAGCAATCATTTTCCCATGACTACCCCATGGGGAAGATAGAATCTCTCTCTGACAGCCTCTCACTGATGGGCTCCTTTTCCTCCATCCTGCACACCAGTATCACTGCCCAGGAGAGCCCCTGCGACACCGCTCCCTATGTGACCAAGAATCTGGAAGGCTTGCTGGCCAGAGCTGAGCGCATGGTGAAAAATACATTGGTGGCTCCCAGTGTGGACCCCGAAGACTTTGGCCATCGCCACGAGGAACTTGGAGCCTAAGAGCTGAAAGGGATCCAGGAAGAAGGTGAGGTGGGAGGATGGTAACCCAGGTATCTGAGTGGGAGGATGGGAACCCAGGTAGTGCAGGGGTGCAGTCCACACATTAAGCCTCTGAGAACCCACATATTAGAAAAAATCTACAAGGGAATGTCCCCATCCCAGTGTCTGCAGAGAGAACAGAGAAACTCCTGGAATTTAGGGTCACTCCCTTCTATTTGAGCAGTATCTCCCTGTGAAAACTGAGATCATCTGCCAGAAAAGATCAATTTGTTTATTTAAATGACTGTCCCTGCATTTATAACTGTGATTATTCTACCTTTTGAGTTTGAAAGGTAATGACATGCTTTGGGTGTAAACACTATACTGTCATGTACGTCTGAATTCAGAGCCAACACTTGGAATCATGAACTGATCTATTAGCTGCACAACCACGGGCCAGACATGTTTTCTGAGCCAGTTTCTGCATCTGTGAATCAAGGGCAACAATAGCATCTACTTGCTAGATTAATATAAAAACTGAATGAGATAATAGATGTCAATATTTTCACAATTAATGAGTTACTAAATTCTGGCTATTTTTTTTTCCTAGGTCACCATGAAGCGAACTCTATTTCCTTTAATTTAAAATGAATGCAACTCATAGGATAAGGAGCATGGAAAACACACACATCTGCATGCTTAATATTAAAAACATTCTTGTCTGAAATAAATTAAATCTAAATAAAAAAAATAAAATTATTGCAATTACCTAGTGTGCATCTTTTGGTATGACAGCATGTCTGTATCTGGTAGCAAAGATGGGCCCTGTGAGCCAACCCATGGATGTTGACAATCCTGCAAACCCTCAAGGGGATGGGGAGTAGCTGCCTGGTGGGTGTCTGGGGGCACATAATAAATGTGGGGCCTGCATGGAACTCTGTGAAGAAATGTTGTCACTGGTGAACTTCATCACAATAAGAAAGGGTTTCTGACACATTTGAGAGGAGTCCCTACTGCTATTTATGGTGTTTCTCCCCAGAAAGCCTAAAGACCTGTGAACGTTTTGTCGCTTTGTCGAGGAGGCTGACCATGAAGCAAAGGCAACATGCTTGGGATGGGATGGGTCCTCAGTATCCCTTTCTGGAATTAGAACTCTATACATCTCAAAGATAATTCCCCTTTATTTGCAGAGTTCCCTGGTCCCCAGCCCAGAGATTGTCTGTGCACTTCCTCTTGACTCAGGTTTGCCCTTGCCCAGCCCTGCCTTTCCTCCCCATCAGCACCCCTCCTCCTCCCCATAGCCTGCAAACCCCTTGAGAAACAGTGGCTCAGAGTCTGAGATGCTGCCACAGACTGACAGGCCAGGAAAGGTCAGCAGGTACCATTCAGTCCAACTTTTCTTATCCTCTGGGGTGCTGAGAAGAAAAGCATGTTACTCTAAAGTCCGTACTATGTTTAACAGAAACATTCATACCTTTAACAAGTACTCTTCGAATGGCTGCATGCCTAGGCGTCCTTTGCTCCTTTGGCCTGGACTCCAAACAAGGTCTGTGGACTTAAACCTGACCTGTGGTCTAGATCCAAATGCAGCCAACATCAGCTGAGATCGTCCTCATCCCTACTATATGCCCATGACCAAGAAAATAAGCATTTGCCTTTGTAAGCCAAGAGGGTTTTGAGGTTGTTTATATGTAATATTGCTGTGACAAAAGCTGACTGGTAAATAGGCTTCGGAAGTGTTATAAAGTGAATGTGTTCCCCCACAAACTCTAACCCCCAGTGTGACTGTGTTTGGAGACAGGGCCTGTAGGGAGCAGCTAAGATTAAGTGAGATCCTAAGCATACAGTCCTGATCTGATAGGACAGGTGTCCTTATAAGAACAGAGAGCGATCAGAGATCCCTCTCTTTCCCTCTCCACGCACATGCATAGAAGGGGCCTGATGGGGACACAATGAGTACATGGCCATTTGTAAGACAGAAAGCGAGACTTCACCACGTGGCAAGGCTGATGGGACTTTGATCTCACAAGTCCAGCATTCAGAACTGAGAACAGTACGTGTCTGCTGCTGAGCTGTCCAGCCTGTGCTGTTCGGTAATACAGGGGTCATTAGTTGGTGGAACTATTTTTGGTACCACAGCTTGTTTTTCCTCTCACTGAGACTTTGGGCTTTGTGTCAATTTGCTCAATGTCCAAATTAGCAATTTTATTCATTTCTTTTTATAAGTTCATTTGCATTTCGTCTCCCTAAAATCAACTTAAGGAATATTCATTGTGTTTGGTTCAATCTCCTGCTGCTGAAACTGGATCATCTGTACTGTAGATAATGAAGTGGTTTTCTCTCGTACTGAATACATACATCACACTATAGAGCAGTGAGTATAGATATATGTACCGACCTGGACCAACCTCACAATTAATACTGAGTACAAAATAAAGCAAGTTTCAAAGGACAGATACCAGATGATACTATCTGTTTTGCATTTAAAACATGTCTAACATTACTGTACAAAACCCACAGATGTATACAGTCATTCATAGGGAGAATAAACATCACGTTCTAAAAAAAGTAACTTTATAGGGTGAGAACAAAATGTCAGTAAGAAAGGTGTTTAGTCGGCACCGAGGATAGTTTTGTTTTATTGTGTAAGCTGGGTAGGTGGAATATGTGAATGGTCACGATATTTGTGTTTAGTAGGAAAGAATTTCGTAAGTATGATTTACATTAATTTACACTAAGGCAACTGTTGTCAATTTTTTAAATGTATGAATTTTAAATACCC